AACGTCTTTACTATGTACATCACCACCTTTGCCAATCACAGCTTATCTAACTGATACCAACTGTTTCAAATCTCTAAGATGTCTCAGAGTTTAGACTTTGACATCAGTTTTATTTGATCTGCTACTACATTAATAAATAAACACAAACAACTGAAACTGCCAGTTGAATTCATCTCCGTGGCATTAAGAAAGCGCGCAACCTTTACAAAGGCAAGTGTAGGCGCGTTTTCACATTGACAAAATGGGAAGGTGATTCTAAACATTTCACTGCAACCTATGCTGGAATAAAGTTTCTAAACATCTCTTCTACTTCTAGCAAGATAATTATAACCTAAAAGTCTGAATTTGGCTGATTTTAATTTACAAAATGGGAAAGAGAGTGAAAATTCTTTCTTGATGAATGCACTTTTGACTTACTACCATTGTTTTGGAAGCTTAACTGCAGAAGAGCTGCCAGCAGTGGCTCTTTTAGAACCTACAAAGAACCAGAAGAGGAAGACAAAGATTACCTGATTTATTTTAGAGAAAAAATGACATGTTTGACTAAGGTCAAGTATAATACAAGTAACTTGTTTATAAATTTAACTAATAACAAATTTATTTAATCTAAAAATTATATAGTTATAAATAGATGTAATTATAAAGCAAAAAGCTTTGAGTTTAGCCAAATATGCTGATAATCCAACACAAAAGGAAGAAGAGGAAGGTTCTTACTTGAAACTTTTGAGGAGCGCTCGCCCATTGACAACCGAGAAGATCCTGCTTGGACTTGCTTTTGTGGGGGCCTTGGAAGTTTAACTGTCACGTTGTGCCTGCATTAGACAAATAGCAAAGGATCTGAGTTTCCTTGTAAAACGTGTGCTCCAACATGCAAATATGAGCAACGAGATGCATGGAATAATTTTTAAAACAAGTTCACATAATAAAATTTAGACAAACTGCAAATGAAGAAGCCGAAATCGAATGTCTTCAATGAATAAATTTGAAAAAAGAAATAAGGGAAAGGAAGGCTTAATTTAGCAACTCAATTTTATCCTGAAAGAAATAAATGTATCTAAAATATCAAGCCATGCAGATTTCATCATATGAGGAGCATGTTTGGCTAATCTCAAAAAAGGTGAAAAGTACATTTCTGGGAATTAAGTAAAGGCTTCCTTTCAAAAAGTAAATTTCTGAACTAAAAATATCAGAAAGGAATAGCTTCTAAAAACGCTCAAACATGTTACCTAAAGGTAACATTTAACCTCAGCCAAACATGCTCTTAGTAGATAATATTGCTATGTATTCACAGTTCAAGCATAGAACTCAAAGGATTTATGGAATGCTCACTTCTCCACAATCTCTGAAGTTTGTTTTGCAGTTTCACGGAAAAGTGTGTGCACCCTATTACTAATCGAACCGTCAGTTTCCGTTCCCGTTCCCTTTGAAAGAACGCCATCAGATATATCACTTAGCCTCTCTTCAGAATCTGCATCTCCAAAGTTCAGGAGCCCTACATCTACACTACAGCTTTTACCTCCATTTGCTAAACCGAGACTTGATCTGACATCTTCCGTAAAATTTTGACTGCTTCGTACAATGGCAAGCCTTGATTGTTGAAAAAATTCCTCGTGGTGCCTAAGGTTGTCTATTGATAGCTGAGAACCAGCGTCAGAATGTTTATCGCTGTACTCGGAGCTATTGTCCAAATCAGTTCGGGTTGGACGTGTGGCCTCTACAGAATGCCTTCTTGGGGAGGTAGACCTGTAACTTGAAGAGTTCATATCTCGTCTGTCAGCATTTCCATTGGTTTTGAACGATCGTAATCTTCCAATTTCTTCATCTTTCTTCATAACAACATCCTTTAGAAAAGCCATCTGGAAGCTCAAGAGAAATTAATTAATATCTGTTCTTTTTTCAGTTCCTTAATAGTAACAATGAACAACAGCAACACAAGCTTCAGAATACTTACAAGAGTGAACTAGAAACGAATCACATGTAATTTAAAATGACTTACTGAAAAATAGATATAAATAGCTTTTGTTTCCTTTTGTTAAGGTATGCTTCTATTAGTCTCTTAAATTTGAAATAGACATTTTCACAATGTACCAGGTGCAAAAAAAAACTAAAGATGGCAGAGCCATCGATGGAAACATTAATTAAAGCGTATTAGTAGAATAACTTAATGAAATTGTGCCACTCAAAAGAACAACAGTCAATCAGAAATCTATGGTTCAAAAGAAATCATTTAGAATCTACGAAGATTCTAAATAAGTAATTGTAGCCATTAGAACCATTATTAGCATTATCCTTCAGTAATAAACATATGAGAAAAAGTCAAGCATGAAATAAAATATAATGAGGGAACAACTTCAAATTACATAAATCGAGATGATTAAATAACCACAGATAACATACCTGTTCCATAAGTTCCCTAACACCCCTACCCTCTTTATTACTACGTGCAGCACCCAACTCAACACCAGAAGCCCTCTCAGCAAATTTCAGTGTACTTATAGTTTCTGAGAAAGATTCTACATCAGGATTGAGTTGTATGAACATAAGCGCCTTTGCTTGACTGCCTACAATAAGGGGAAAGAAGAGTAGGGATAAGCATGTAATAGTGAGAGACAAATGGAAGGATAAAATGAAAAATCAATCACATATATGGCAACATTTAAAACCTTTATCATTCAATTCAGTTGCGTAATTGACATGATATAAGTCCACAGTTACCTAGAGAGCTCTGAAGAACTTGAGTTAGCTTGCTGTTTCTGTAGGGCACATGGGAATTTTTTTGTGCCAAAGCAGAGATCACATCTCCCAAAGCCGATAGGGATTTGTTTATATGTTGTGCTTCCCGTAGTCTATCCCCTGTTGCTTCAGAGCGTTCTACTCTTTCACTTCCAGCAAGATCTACTAAATGTAGACAACCACGCAAAACAGCATTGGTCTCCAAATCGGTCCCACGGACATGAACTGTAAGTACACTGCACATATGAGGTAAAATCAAAATCCTGCCCACAATATAAAATGTAAACAGTTAGAAAATAGACAATATGCGGCCAAACCTGTGGGACCGGCTGCTTCTTTCATTTAGTGCAGTTGCACCAACAGCCCTATTCATTAACCCAAAACTCATCAAATCTAACACATCTGTAGTCGATCTAACAGGGTGCATGCTAGCATCGGGGACAGCTAACCCATTTGGTTGGGACGTGTTCCAAATCCCAAGCGTGTGCGAGTCAAAGGAAACAATGGAGAAAGTACATGAATTAATATAGATGTAGAAGCACATTAGCACAAACAATCATGCAAATTAGGTGTGAAAGGGAAAAAGGAAAAGAGTAAAATGGAGAAGGAAAATTTAATACTTCATTAAACATGGAGTCATAGAAGAAATTTCTAAAGGATATCTCTTCTGAGAACTGTCGTTACTGAGTAAGTCACGCACTTGTTCATTATAGATTTCAACCATTTGAACCCCGACTTCATATGCAATGGAGCTTTTTCTGCTCTGAGATATATTGAAGAGATCATTTAGAGCTCTATAATTGACTCCCCAATCCTCTACAGATGTTACACTCGGTCCAGTCTGAAGATATGTTCAACTTCGTAAGTTAACAAACCCAAAAGAAAATAATTATTTTTTTAACTTACCGTAAGAGTAAGAACGTACCATTGTGTAAGTTTTCCCCGAACCTGTTTGACCATAAGCGAAGATACAAATATTGTATCCATCAAGGACAGATCTAATTAATGGTTGTGTGTCTTTAAAGACTTCCTCTGGAGATGAGTAATAGAGAGATACGACACGCAGAAGAGAGAGATTGTATTAGAACTATTCTTTGCAATGGACATGACATTTATTTAGATTTCTGTCATTGTTTTTTAGAAATTCCATGTATTATAAAGTAAGAAAATTAGAACCTTGAGTAGCTGCAGGACCAAAGACCTTATTGAATTTGAAAAGCCGATGACTGTCTTTTCCTTGTTTTGATGGATTTATGACAACTAGTTCTCCATTGTCACCAATATACTGTATGGTTGTGTGTTTTTCACTTTGTCCCGGAAGAAATGGCCTTATACGGCAGTAAACTCTTATATTTCCTAGCAAGAAGGAGCCCAGATACATTAATAATTTCATTAGCACCTAACTACCACGTCATAGCCAACTTACTGACCTTTTAAATCTTGAACCTCGTTGTAAAGTTTCCGATTTTCCTCAAGTACAGAGTGATAATTCTGTGCAGCTTCTACCAATCCTTTAAGATTTAATCCTGATCAAAGCAAAAACTTGCATATAAAGCAATTCCAAAAAGATAGGTAATCATTATTTCAATAACTAAGAAAGCGAAGAAATTAAATTCCTCTTCCTACCAAAATGACGAACTTCATCAGCATATATTTCCTTGTTCTTCAAAACCTCTTGCTTTAAGGACTCAGATGCCAACCTCAATTCCTGCTTAATTTTCATTAGTATTCAATAATAATATTGATCTCTATAGAATTAAAGCATTGAGCTTGATGTAAACCTGCAAGGATCCAAATTGAGAATCGATGAAGTGAGTGTATCTATGTTCCTTTCTTTTCCATTTCAGAAATTTTGTTTCTGTAAAGTCCTCGACTTCTTTCACTTTGTTCCTTGAATCAGTCAAGAGGCACTCGAGTGCCGTAATTCTTTTCTCTAGCTGAACTTTTGTTTCCTTGGCATGGGTTTCTAATTGTAACTGGTTCTCTTCATATGTTGTTATGGCTAATTCCAGCTCCCGCTTCACTGATGAAATTTGACTCTCATAGTGGTCCTTTTCTTTCCTTAATCTATTTAAATCATTTTCTCCGAGTGTCATCTTCTTCTCAATTATAGCCTTTTCATTCTATGACAGACATACAAAAAATATATTATCATCATTGCTCTGACCACAAGATAAAATAATTACAAGAACCTTCTTCTCAATAAACTAATCAACAAATACCACCTGGCTAAAGTACACCAATCGCCAATAAAAGGAAGGAGGAGGGAGGGGAAGAGAGAGAGTGAGAAATCATATTCAAAGCGTTACATAATTGCTCAGAAGCTGATATCATGATATACATGTGCCAACATATATAGTTATTTACTTAATGATTGAGAGAATATAAGTACAAGAAGCATCTGCACTCACGAACCTCGTTGATTAGTAAGGCCAGAAAATTATTGTACCATAATGGTAAACTCAGAGTGAGAATTAATCTAAAAGAGAAAAACAAAGATTTGTACAGGAAACTAATACACAGTCGGTTTAATTCTACCACTTAGTTGAGTCATTTTTAATTCTATAACTTAGTTGAAAGTCTCACATTTATAAGAAATCTCAAATAGAACACGCACTGATTTTTTTTCATAATAAATACCTCAATAAGCCCCAAGAAATCAAGTACAGAAAGTCACAAGTAGTAAACTGCTGAACGGTTTAAAGCCAAAAATATAAACTTCAAGATTCTCTGGAACTTGATGAATAATAAACTCAAAGCAACCGAGATAACTCATTTTCCCTAGTCACTAGAGCAGAAACCATGTTCATATACAGAAACACACCTTTATCAGTTGTAGCTGCTTCATGACAATCTGCAAAAATGAGAGAAAACGAATGAAAAGCAAAAAGAGAACCATCATCCTAATTCCATGCCCATAACTACCAGCCATAGTACCTCATTTTCTTCAATGGTTCCAGTTGAAAGAGTTTCAAGTGCTCTAATTTTCAATTGGTACCTATCTTCATGAGACTTGTACAGATTTCTGTGCTGCATTCGCGTAATAATTCAAGCAGGTCGTCAAGAACATTATTCTTTTTGGAATGAGATCTCATAAGTCACTTTGTGGGTAGAAAAATCATATCCCAGAGCAGATAATCTTTTAAGCATTTACCTTTCTCATATTTTCTGCTTGTTTGTATAACCTGTGCTCAATTTCTTGCACAATTAATTTCACCACAGATGCCACATGCTGAGCAAAAGCAATGTGCCACCAGCACAAAATTGAAAATATAAAGCTCACAAGAGGGTTAAGGGAGGAAATAGAGACATAAAACTATATCAGCGTGATAATAGTCAACAATCTTTTGTCGTTCTGCCATACCTGAGGTATACTCCCATTCTTTCTGTCAATGCTTTCCTCCAGAATTCTATTCACAACACTGAAAAGCGACTGAGAAGTGGCACTCTGCACATAAAGAGTTGCTTGACAAGTAAGAAGACCATCCAACTAGTGATGTGAGAATATGATATTCAGAACCAAGCTCCTTTTTTCCGGTTCAATGGTAGTCAGACTAGCCTATATTTAAAGTTTACGATGCAATAACAAGATGTTAGTCGTAAAATATTACCTTGAAACTTTCCAATTCCGTTAGTTCTGAAATCTTAGATGCCTGAAAATCCCCATAATACCCATGCTTTGATTGGAACACATCAGAAAAATTACTGCCTGTTTGATGATGATTGATGTGAAATAGTTTTCAGTAACTAGGAAATATATCGAAATAGCTAAAAGGATGAGAAGTTAGAATCGAGAAACTTTGACCACAGATATGAATCAAATGACACAATGCATACTTGTCTTCACATATTGTTTTAAATTAGAGTAGGCTGAAAAATACTTCTCAATTGGGTACAGCCAGGATGAAGCCATATTGAAGGTGTAAAATACTATGGTCTCAAAGCAAATATGTTTTCTGTTAGTTCCCCTCCAAAGATCAACAGAGATACAATTCTTTGAGAGGGTAAGAAAGAATTGAGACACAGCTGAGACAATGATTTCAGATGTTGAGATTTTAGTGATACTGAGAATTGAGACACAGCTGAGACAATGGTTTCAGATGTTGAGATTTTAGTGATACTGAAAAATAATTATCTAGTATTACAGTTTGATTTTTAATTCAATTCAACTTGAAAATTGTTTTTACAACAGAAATCCATTAAACTTTTAGCAAACTCAAGGTGTCCACAGTTTTAGTTAGATTTTGGTGATTTGACTTTTTCAGAAGTCACGATACAGCAGCTTTTGGTTTTGGAACATGTGAGAATTTAACTAATGTTTGCAACCACAAGTTCCACTTTTAAAATCCTCTTTGCTATCAGATACATTGCCGTTATGAATTACATCTAAGCTACCTGGTTCCCCATTTTCAGGTGCATGTGCTTCCGATTGCGTGTTCATGATAAACTTGATAGATGAACACCGAGATAAATACTGCACACGATAAAATATCAAAACAATCCAGAAAAATTTATTTGTCAAATAGTTATTAGTTTGCAGAAAATTACACAAGAAACTGCAATTATCAAGTCATGACATACTAGGAAAATACTTAATGATATCAAAAAGGATATGAAACTGTTTTAATGTCTAAAGTCCAATAAAAATTGCTCTAGTTACAAAGTAAAATGCTACACAAGATATAAGGAATTAAACCCATTTATTCCGGATGTCACTTCCGAAATGCTCAAATCATAGAAAGAAAAAAGAGTTGTAAATTGTAAAAAAATAATATTGTATATCACCAGAGTACAATGAAAATGACTTGCAGTTAAACCAGGAATTTTCTTGCCTTTGTAAATTATATGCATTTCACAAACCCTACGTTGCACGGACACGGACACGCCACACGAATACGTCAATTTAAATTCTTTAAAATTCTACGTTTATATCTTTAGATTTATAATTTTTATCTTTTAATAAAACCAATAATTTTTGTTGTTAAATCTTCTAAATAAGAGTAGTTATTTATTAATTGAATTAACATTGTGTTAAAATTAATATTGCTACTAACTAGAGTGATTGAGACGGACAGAGACACACCAAACTAGTTGGAGTGTCCGAGTGTTCGAGCTTCGCAGCACAACCTAACCTGAAGAACAAATCTGAAGAGAATTTTTTCATAAATATACCACATATGTTTGGCAATTGATACCCATCTATTCGTCCACATTGACATTCTCGTGACAAAATGTACAAGATTTTTAAGGAACAAATCAAATGACAAATACACATCAAAGTATTTGAAAACTTAGCCCCTGTTTGTCTACCATTTTCCCAAAAATTGTTTTCTACAGTAAACAATTTCCACCACATATTCACTCAATAAAATATTCTACACATAAATCAATAAAGTTACTTTAAATTTCAATCACACATTCTCCAAAAAATACTATTCATTACACAATTTTCCTCCCCATAATGGTAGACAAACAAGCTGTTAGTTTTATGTCAACTAATGAAAAAAATTGACAATTGCTATACATGACAAGCACCATTCCACAAATACGGAAGTCTTGAAAAGAAAAATAATTCAAAAAATATCATGGAAACGTGTACTTTATACGTTAAGCCCTTGCTTGTTACCCATTTTCCAAAATACATTTTGTTCTCTCCTTTTTTTTAATCACACATTTTTCAATAAAATAATGTTACACGCAAACCTAAAAATTTTCCTTTTTTTTTTTAACCACATATTCTCTATAAAAATATTATTCCAAAAATGCATTTTGGACAAAAAAATGAGCTCAAACATACACTAGATATCAACAAGACACATTGACAAAATGCACCAGTTAAGTTAAATGAATAGAAAAAGAACTCTACAAATTTATTCCAGACGTCATCCAGAAATGTAAAAATCTTAGAAGGAAAAAGACGTGTCCATCATGCAAAACATCTGTGCATCATTAACATCATTAGCATAAGAATATAATTGTTTTTGACAAGTTGACAATCTGGAAGAAGATTTCTAATAAGGAACTGCTGAGAAGCAACATGTTTCGATTTATTGTCTAACTAAATAAAATAAAGACTATTAATTTAGACCACCAGAAAAAGATTCAAGCAGCTGAAATGCTGAACCCTCCCTTTATTTAGCTGAATCAAACGCATAACAGAATCAACCAAATTGATCATCATCTTTTTATAACTTTTGCTCCCCTTTTCCATTTTATCATCCTTATTCAAAGTCCTGGTAGCTCGATTATGAGACTGAGAATTGAAAGTTTGTCCCAATAGTTGCTGTCCGTTAAAAAGCAGCAGCACAAAATTGGTAGTATTTTCACTGCACAGACAGATTCCTAGTCGAAGGAAGCTCTGAATTCCAACATTGCATAAGCATTAAAATTTTTAAAAATACCACGCACTGTGCAATAATTCCATAATATCACAAAATCAATCCTTTCCCATCTAATCATCCTCATCTGAAGTCAGGATAGCTCGATATAAGACCGAGAAGTAGAAAGATTGCCCCTATAATTTTACTGGACATTAAAAAACA